TTGCGTGTGTGAAAGTGCGCTTCACCTTCACTTCACCACCATTTTAGGAAAACATAAATTTTTCCATAGTGCCCTTAGTGAATCAAAAAGGAAATGATTGAAATGAAATCGCTTACATACTTAAGTGGATAGTCCGAAAGCATCATTGCTACGTCAAAAATTGCTTCCGTGGGGAATAACTGAGCTACTTGTTCGACAAAAGCAGGAATTCTGAATATGCAGAAAGGTAGATATTATAGAAGATCGCTCACATCAACTTCAGAACTTACTCTTCCACGTAAGGGCCTATCTCTTTCAATAGGCCAGCTTGAGAAAGGACATCAACTAGAGTACACCCTTCCCTGCACAAAACCATAGAGGCACAGAGCCATTCGTCGATTAAATGAGCAATATCCACCTTGGCGTCCCCATCGCGCTTATAGAACTCATCCAATAATTGACGTGCATTCTTTGCAAGTACCGCAACGGACTGAAGATTCGAACAAACATTAAATAAAGAATCAAGGTTATTCCGACGGAGGGTCACCTTTCCCAGTTCGGCACATATCTGTCTAAGTTCAGGGGAAACGCGTGGATCAAGCTGCGACTGTTTCTTAGTCAGCTGAAATAAAGACAAAACAGTGAATCTCAAGTAAGCCTTGACAATGAGGACACGTTAACCTTACCAGTCGGTTTAGAGTAGTAAAAAAGTGTCGTAAGTACTCGATTCAGCTGCTCAAACACCTTACTTGTTCACCTCCCTCCCTACAATCGCCATTAATTTTTGTCAATGTTTTTATTATATTCGCCTTATACCGAAAAACCTTGGGAATTACATGGTACTCTCAGGCTTCTTTCCTGCTGACTACCCGAAGAGCTGTACCGTATCCTCTCAAAGTGCAGATCTATCCCTCGAACAACAGCAGGCTAGACAATTCGCTAGTAACATGACAACTACCGATTCTGTTGCACAGCCTCAGGAATTTCAATTATAGCTTCCTCCAGAAAATAAAATAAATAGGCAATCTTAGATCGCAATCTGAGGATGTTTAGTCCAAAAATAGATCTACTTTTAGCATTTAATGTAATACTACACGAAATTCGACACACAATACTCTTTTTGTCCTTTAGCACATGCCTAAATAGTACTCACCTCTACCGCAATCTCATTGTATTCAGAGAAAAAAGAAATTGCACAAGCCAGTCGCTTGGACGGAAAGATGCCTCGCCCACGGATTATTTCAGTATACTCTTTTTTTGAAAGTTGCGCATCCTAAAAATCGTCTATATCAGGCGTAGATTTACCAAACACCTAAAAGAACTGCAAAATTGACCGTCTTTTCGTTGAATACGGCAGTACGGAGAAAAAGTGCAAAGGTTGAATAGTACAGACGGGTCGCCGCTTTCGATACTGACGGATCCCATCCGAATATGAGCTGGTATTCATCCGACTCAAACTCCCTGCAAGTATGAAAATTGAGATGTTCTTCAAAGCTAGAAATAGATGTTGAAGTTTCCTACCTGGGAAGGGCTTCTAGAGCCTGATCGAATGCGGTCATGATATTAGAATCGAAGACGACGGTGCTCCAGAATGATTCAGATGGTAGTTGAAGTATACGCTCAAACGTGAACGCTAAGGTATTCGCCACATCTTGCCATGAAGTCAGATCCGTCTTGTAAACATTGTAGGCCAAACGTGAGATGGGAGGGCATGTCGTAGCAACCACTCGCGTTTCTTCCTGAACACCCTGACTTGAAAAAAAAAAGCTGAAGCGCTCTCAATCCGCTTCATTTCGCTGGGTTGGTATAAAGTTGTATGGTTCTGAAAAAGAGTTAGGGAAGTGATCCAAGTTTTCTTTTCAATGAAATCACGAGAATATGGGAGATGGAGACCACTCAAATTGAAGTACGAAAGGCTTGCTCAGTTGGGAGAATACCTATACCCATCCACAAGAAAAAAAGTTGTCCGTTTCAACTTTTTTGCCATAAATGAACTCATCTCGGGGATGAAGCCATGCACATGGCCTACACTAAGAATCGTCAATAGGGATGAAAGTTCTAATGGCCTAAGTGGCGCGTGTCTGCCCAGACTTTGCTTCCGCGAGGTAAAGCACATCATATAAATAGCCCATTCAACGGAAGACAGGTATCCTAGGTATGCTGAATAACAGGACCTTCAAGATCGAGAATGATTGCTTGAGAGATCTAATTTACCGACCATACGCACAGTACCAGTACTACTTTCACCACAGCAGTTATGCACGATAAATAATCTGCCTCAAGCCCATGAATACAGAACTTAAAGAAGTCATTTCCAACTCCCCTATATGCATCTGGGTGAGGCAACAAAATCAAAATCAAAGGACAGAGGATTCGAAACTGAAACTCGCTGTTTTCACTCACCAGTTTCATTGTCCAAAAAAGCTACAAACGAATATTCTCTGGAAACCCAAGCAATAATTTCTAAAACAAAAGTCGCTATCAAAGTCAAATAAACAGGACATGAAGAAACAGTAACACTGCGTTCAGTACAGCATCGATTGGCGCATTGTATGAGTTTGAGAATGAACAGCTAAGCAAAAGATATAAGATTTTTATTGTATAATCTCTGGAAAATGTCAAAGTAAACAGCGAACAACCACACCTTCAAGGTTCATCAACAAAACAGCTCAACAACTAATTCTGAGTACATAACAACAACATAACAAGAAGGTCTGAGTCATCTAATTTAACAACAATAATACAAAAACGTTGAAAACGCACAGCTCAGAATCTACTATACCATCGAATTGATCGAAATAACGAAAAAAACTATAGGTAAAACTTCAAACGACCATTAAACCAAACCTATATACTGAAGTTTTTGAGCATCAAACACCGTTAGATCGATCAGGATCGTTTCTTGGAAGATATAGGCTGCTTGTCAATCACACTAATTACGTAGGTTCCTTGCCATAATCATGACCAAAAACAGAACATATCCACTGCGGTGAGTAAGGAAGTACTTTCTAGTGGCACATTTGAAATAAGAATAGAATCCACAATTTCAAGCAACACTCACTTCGAAGGCTTACAATAAATTTTATTCCTTCCCATCTTGGAAGACTTATCCTCCAACGGCGGCCACATCACCGTTACCGTACCATGTAATGATTCCGGTAGCCAATCTAAATATTCTTCCAGCAGATAGTTTTCGTCCTTGCTGAACTCTTCAACCAGTGCCGCCTTTGTGTGGACCTGAACGGAAAAGAAAATTGAATCAGAACTTAAGAGGGGACCTGTAAGGAGCATACCTCTTTTAGTACAAGAGCATTGAGTAGACTCTCAGTCCTCTTCTGTAATTTCGCCCATGACCGTATCATTGTCGTAGGTGGGGCCAACATTTTTGGAACGAACTGGGCTAACAGTGGCATCACCTAAGCACAATTTTGAGCAAATTCGCCGGCAAGCTGCTCAGAACCGATGTAAAACTTACCTCTCCTGCTAAGAAAAATTGAGCGAAGAATCTGTACAACATAATATCGTTAGGAATGGGTCGCTCAATCGGATTAAGGCGCCACTCTAATGGACCGAACGTCACTTCCACGCTTTTCACTATGAGATCTTTTTCACTGTCGTACCTAGAAATAATAACATTTAGAAAAATGCGAAAACAACATGCACAGTGTGTACCAGCACTGCAACTCGTGCTGACGGTGTTTTGCGGAACTTCACCTTGGCTCGGCATCCTTATCCATTGGAGCAAAGTTACAGTACGATTCAGCAAGTCTGGGCAGCCATTCATGATCAACCATCATCACACCCTGCATGCATTTGCGATCTCCTAACTGAACTATTTCCTGGTAGATGACGTAGTCTGGTTCGTCAGTGTAAATGACGCTGCACGGATCAATGAAAACGAATTCCTGAAGGAGGAGCTTATTGTTGAATGGATTTTAAAATTCCCATTAATAACGAGAATGATGTTTATCCGGTGGATAACAAAGCATCTCAATACCAACCCTGCTGATTTCGCTAAGCATATAGAGGGAAACATATGAAAACAAAATTCAAATTATTAGAATGAAATGCTCGCCATTCCAATGTTTACCTGAAGTTTCATGGTCTGATAGGCGCCTTTAGGTACCTCTTCGTTATCAGCTGATCGATCCACTCGCCGAGCAATACGATCTGCCAGACCGGCAACCATCATTTGTCTGGAACTCGAACCATCGGTCTTTTCGTCACTACTACGGCTATTCCACGTACCTCAACATCTGCGCTTGGGCATCAGTTGGAGGGGGAAGGCAGGGATCCATTACGACGTCCGCACTTGACTTGAACGACGTATTTACAATATTAGTCAACTGCGTGCGCAACCGTCGAATCTCCATCATTGCCTTGTGCCTCACTCCCAGATTCGTGCAAGCCGCTGGATTCATCTGAAGAGCTACAACGTTTTGATAAACTGTCTTTCACTGCGAATCCATTTTGTGCTATAAATTTTCGCGAGAGAATGTACATCCAACCTTTTCAGCTTCGCTGGAAATAACAGCCCTTATCAGAACAGAAAGGTCCCCCAGTCGACGTCCAGGGCCCTAAATGTAATAATCATCACTTACATAGGAGCAGAAACCACTATATCATTCACCTTTCCGCACCATCCTCTTCGCAGTTTCAACAATGCCGTCATCTTTTCCTTCGTTTCCTCATCGGTTTCTCCTCGAATCGACGAAAGTGGCACCAGCGGCTCACGTACTGAATGTGACTATGGGTAAATATTACTGTATTTCAAACAAACTTTTCTAGCTATCCTATGCTTTCTACTTGTAATTTCGTGTTTCCTGTTATCTTTTTATAACAAATTGTTAAGTTCGCACGTTTTTTATTCGCTACTGTGCTACACAAAAAGCTATACAACGTATCTCAGCATTGCCCCTAATCTAGTGGCCTTCATCGCCGCCTAGGAAAGAACTTTCCGGACCCTAATTCTTTGTAAAGTACGGTTCTACGTTGTCCGGAAGAGATGGTTTGTGCTGGCTCTCTTCTCATCGTGGGAACAGTGAAGAACGCCCCCAGAGGGGAATGAATTTGAATCAACTTTGACTACCTTCGTCTAGTTATCGACTTGTTTTAAAGCAACTGCGGAGGCGCAAAGTGAAGAAATGAAGGAAGTCGTTCTAGAGAATGAATTAATTAATAGGTAAGTGATTTTTCATAAACTCTTCACTTTGTTTACACCCAGTGGCCAAAAAAATTTCTAGACTATTGTTTACCCCTAATTTCACCACACTCTGCACACATGAACTTGATAGTACCTTCACGGCTTTTTCCAAAACGCAAGTACAAAAAAAANAAAAAAAATAAGCTAGAACAGCGCATGTTTCCTGTTCCACACATATTCACGCGAATAACGAATAATTTAAACAACCACAAGAGGTTCCAAATTACAAGCAATGCTCACCAGAAAGTGCTGCAATGAGTAGAATTGCGTAGGGCATGAGACCGTGCTGATTAGCCATAGCTATCACCTTTGCGTAGGCTGGTGCTAGCGGGAACACTGACAGCGTTCTACCTAACGGTGTTATCCGAGCTTCAGTCTGCAAGCGAGATGTAGAACAACTTGTCAAACATGAGAATACCACAATCCATAGTTATTCAGGAAGATCATTCATCTAAATGAATAGGAGCAGTTAATGTGTGCGGCTTACCTTCCCATTTTTCGTTGTCTTCGCGAGAGCCCCAAGTTTGATCAGCCTTTCTTCAGCTGCCGCTAGCGTCTCAGAGTCTGGTTGTGATGGAAACGGGAAATTGATAACCTAAAGAGGAAAACCCATTTAACTGCGCTCAAAAAAACTTACGGAGAGAGAAATTTAATAAGAAGCCGGCGAAATTACAAAAACAATGGATAACCTCGTAATTACCTTAACAATGTTCATTGACTTCAAATGCAGCACTAGCTGATCCGCAGGTTTTTCGAGAATTTCCGGACGAGAAAATTTCTCGAAATCTTGAAATACTGCCGATGAATACAGCCTAAAGAAATCGAGTACCACGTTTGCATAAATTCTACAGCTAAAAGACCTATTGTACTCAATGACTAAATACTCGACTTGCAAGAATTCACCGATCTACTAGTTGTGGGTGGATAGGGTTAGATAAGGGTTGCGGTTCAGGAAGACAAAAAATAAAAGGCAGTCGCTCTCAGCTTTTCACCTGTAAGCATGTCCAGGAGCAATGCGGCCCGCTCTTCCAGCTCGTTGATCGGCCGATGCTTGACTTATGCGGTCTACGACAAATTTCGATACACCGGTCACTGGGTCGTATAGCCTAAAATATTTGTTCATAATCAGAAACTGAAAATTAGGCCTAGACGAATAATGTGATGATGGTGTCGCGAGAAAATGTCCACATTGTCACACCCACTTCCAGCTAGAGTCCATTCATAGAAAGAAAGATCTTACTTGAACAGAGAGAGCCCATCATATCATACTGACCTGCCAGAGGAAAAAGTATTTGCTATCAAGAAGGTTTTGACTTAACAACAAACGCAAGATTTAATCAATGTTTTCCTGATTCCGAGAAAGCTGCCAAACTCTCTGCATTAAATAGTAATGTAACGTAAAATACACTGTGAACAAGTGATTCTTACACAACTTTTGCTTTGCTTTGTAGAGAAGAACCCTACAATCAAATTTCTAATATCGTCTACTATGAAGCCTATGATATAAGATCACTCGCTTGGGCACGTTTTCCAATGAAACATACGAAAACACCTCTGGGAAAGAAGCCTGAGCGCCTGAGTAAAACACTCACCTACGTTTTTCGAATCCACTGTCAACCACATATTTTACACCAGGAATCGTGAGTGATGTTTCTGCCACATTCGTTGCGATTACACACATCCTAAAAAAGATGAATTCGAAAAGTATGAGGATTCTATTCAAAATATACAAAACCTCGTTCCCTCTGGAGGCGGTTCAAAGACCCGACGTTGTTTTTCTGTGGATAATAGGGAATACAAAGGCAAACAGTAAAGAGGTGGACATGATGCAGATGGAGCTGGCATCGGAAAGTCCTGAAAATACCTCAATCTGAGAACCAGAACCATCTTGAAGGGATAAATGAATTCGAAAGGCTCAAGGAAGGCGAAAGAGTAATGGAGGAGTGGAGTAACGTATAGGCACTGGCGTAGAAATCGAACCTACCAACTCTTCCGTCGGGTCCTCATCCTCTGCTTCATAGTCGTCCCACAACGTATCACAAGCACCGGTTTCCTGGAGGTCTTCCCCGTCAAAAGAGTATGTTCGCTTCAAATAAATCATTGAGAGTATAAGAAAAAGGCCGCCTTGAAATGCCGACTGAAGGATATAGGAGTGTTCTAGGAAAATAGTTGAAACATTCTTACATCTTCGACGAAATCTTCGAGTTTCAAGTTTTGCGCAGCCTCTAGTTGCTTCTGTTTCCACTTTTTACTACCTCGTATATATACTTGACCATCCTTGCTGGAATCGTACTGAATCTGAAAGATACATTTATGAGCAATGGCAGATGATGACGAGACGACTGAAAAGTTAGTTTGATCCCGCCCAGAATAAGAACAATTTCGCTGGTTGAAAAAAAAAGCAAGACAGCTATTCTAATGGATTAAAAACTTGTTTGAAGCATAAATAGCAGAATCTGTTGAACGTACTGTATATCTACTGACGAGCTTCTTCACTAGATGCCGAACCTCTTGTTGACCACTCACAAACACTAAAATCGCACCGTCAGGGAGTGTTTCGTGAATTCGACACACCTTAATTAGGTTTTTAATATGTATAATCATATAAACCAATGAAATGATTTATTAAACATATTAAAAGAACGATAAATAAATCAGAAGGAGCGACAATTTGACAGACTTTTGCTTTCAGATAAAACATTGGAGAAAACAAAGTAGTTAAAGTAAAAGAAGGGAAATTTTTGAAACAAGAAACTGATCCAAATTAAAAAGAAATCACCTTTCTGAAAATACCCATCATATAATCCTCGGGTGTCCGTTTTTCGAAATGCACCGTAACTGGGAATTGTCGGGACTCCACATTTATAACGTTAGGCTTCAAGATGGGAAATAACCTCAAGCAAATCACTTTAATTAGATTCACAAAGATATGAAATGATGAATGGCTAACCTTCTATGAGTAAAGTCATCCAATCGAAGAGTGGCCGACATGATTATTAATTTTAAAGGATTCGCTGTTTTCGCTCGAAGTGGTGCTATCCTGCTCAACATACCGATCAACACATCACTGTACATTGACCGTTCATGTGCTTCATCAATGAGAATGGCTGAATACCTGAAACACTATTGGAAAATCTTCTGTGAAAAATTCTGTGAAGCTCTTGACCTGGAGCCCCGTCAATTATAACTGGACAGCAAAAAATTTATTACTTTGATCCCTACGCTATGAAAGTAGGATGCATAGCATGATCAGATATGAGACAAGAAACAATGTAACGAATAATTACTTTTTCAACATTACATCGGACTCCATTTCCTTCATTAGAACACCATCTGTCATGAACAGGATTTTCGTCTCAGGTGTGCGATTTCCTTCATATCGAATCTTGAAACCATACAATAATTAATACCGGTTAACTTGAAAAAGAAGCGTAGAGTGGGAGCGAAGAAAACTTTACAAACTCACCTGATATGAAACGATATCTGGTGAGCCTAACTCTTGGCCAACACGTTGCGCCATAGATATCGCCGCCACTCGTCGAGGTTCAGTAATTCCGATCAATTGACCATTACTCGCGTACCTTGAAAGAAAAAAATGCATGTCCAACCAAACCCAGCAGAGCCCTTAGATTTGTTATCTCCCACATTTATCTTAAAAAAGGTTGACAACATAGGTTAACGGTCGAAGATTTTGTTCCTTACAAATGAAAAAAACTAACCCCGCTTCATAAAGAAACTGTGGAATTTGAGTTGTCTTCCCTGAGCCTGTTTCACCACATATGATGGTAACCTAAAAAATTGAAGTAATGGAATGTTCATCGCTAAGCCCTCCAGAAATCGAGTGCCATGGTAATACTCAGCAGATAAGAAAAAAGGAGATACCAAAATGAAATTGTCGAACGCCAAACAAGTTCTATGCTGCTGTTTAGCCGTGAGCAATTAACTTACAATGCTTTCGTTGATGGTCTCCATGATAGGTACTTCTTCGGAATATATGGGCAACTGCGAGCGTTTGTTTTCAATATTGGGATCACGAGCGACAAGGACACGTTGGCGATGGACAGGTGCAACCCGTGGTTGTTCAGATTTCTCATCTTCTACCTCTACTTTTACTTCCTGAAACAAAGATACTGAAGAAAGTTCTATGATGATAGAATCACAAAGATTGGGCCACAAAAAAAGAAGCTTACTCACAGGGTTATATTGTATAAAATACATAAATATATAATTTAAATGTGATGTATTATGAGAGCGCATGGGCTAGCAACTTTACTCACCTGAACGGGAACCGCAGTGCCTCCAGTATCATTTAAAATCAGAGACGTAGTTAGGTCATTTGAACCAGAAGGTAGACAAGCCTGCAAAAAGGATAATACTCAGACAACGGCTAGTTGACAACTAATAAGCTTCTGAAGAATTCGACCTATCCGTACCTCAGCTAAAATTGCAGAGTCCTTCGCTACTGCCGGTACAGAGCTACCATTCTCTGTCGAATCAATTTCTGCTTTTAACTCTGTTTCGTCTGGGCATACTTCTAATTGAGCTGAAGACACCGAGGGCGTAGTATCGCAGGGCTGAAACATTACATAACTAGAGAGAATGCATAGTAGCACCAAGGCGATGTACAACTATAACAAACCTGGACAAACCAAAAGTACAAGCTGACGGCATTCTTGCTTGCCACCCGAACCCCTTATTGCTGAAGCCTATTCTTTTCAGCAAAGAGATATGTACATGTTAGACTATAAACCAGTCCATAGTAAAGAATGTTCAAGAGAATCTCGTCCCCACTGATGACAAGCGTATTCCAAGTGTTCCCTCAACTCTTGGATCTCTGGTTTGATTACGGTGACAGCAATGCGAGCGGGACTAGAACTTCAAAAGAAGAGAGAACCAGCTGTGGGCTCTAATCAACAATGAAAAACGCTTCAACAAGTAGTTCAAATAACTGAAAGTTGGCCCGTCAGTCTATTGAGAGCAAGGAAAATCGAATTAGCACAGAGCAAAAAGAAAACATGTGATGAGAAGCAAACCACTCGAAAAACTTACTGGAACCTCGGTGTCCTCATTTTCGCTCTCATCAGAACTTTCATCATCGGTGGGAAAGTAATTTTCTTGTACTCGTTCCTTTTGATGGATCGTTGGAGGCAATTTCACTTTCGAGGAGCACACTTTCATCCTTGTTGGAAAACCATCAATATCGCCACCATCGCCGTTGTGAACACTGAAGGAACGATTGGATAATCCAAGCTATTGAGGGGTTCAATCCAAATGAATGATCAGGTGTTGCGATGCCTTTGCAGTTTATCAAGGGCACAGCACGCAAGTACATGTTGGAAACAAATTACAAGGAAAATAAACCTTTTAAATTTGTCCTGCATATGACTCGATGAAGCGAGTTGACTCAGCTTTTTCGAATCCAACTGATATTCCGCTAGACTCGCAAACAGTTCTTCTTGCTAGAATGGGACTATGAGTTTTCAAGGTTACGTTGCTTGTCTCATAAAGTACTTTGAATGCCAGTTAGCTATGATAATAGACCACGAAAAAAATTAAAGAAATGCCAGAATCTGTGCAATAGACCTCACCGTTAGTTTATTCGCTTTTCGTTGTTGAACAGCCGCCAACTGCCTTTTCATCTTCTTCGTAATTTTTTGTTTCTCTTTTTCTTTGGCAAAATTTTTGCCCTTTTTTCCTCCTGTGGCACTCTTTTTCTTTGGCAGAGGGCCATCATCTCGTATTTTCCGCTTCTTCCCTAAAATTGCGGAGACCGTGCGTTCATTCAACAACAGGAAATAATCGACAAAGACGTATACGGTAGACCACCCTATTTCTTCAAAATAATCCCTTTCAGACTTTTTCAGGCTTTTGAGAGGCTAGTCACTTCACGCTCCCAAATAGCGCTACCAACCCTCAAAAATTTGAAATGCTGTACTGACCAGGAAGTACTACTAGTTGATTTGAATCGTCAGCATTGGGTAGCGGTGTGTTTGGATCGTAGAGAACCGGGTTGGCTGCTGTCATATCTTCTTCGACGTGATGGACTCATACGCTTTATTAACCTTTAATGTTATCATTTTGACGTCGGAATGAATTAAACCAATGAATTCAATTAAAACAGTGTAGAATCAATGAAACTCGCCAAAAGAACTACTTTTTACTAACCACTTCCTGAATAAAAACTGACTAAATAATATGAGACACAAGACTGGTACTATACACGCTTTCTCGTCTTGTAGAAACTGAAAAAGGAGATCTACAGCAGAGGAACAGCAGAGTTACAAGAGGTGCAGCGTAAAAACACCACACGAGAGATGCCTGCAATTGCATACCACTCGAAACTACAGTAACCATATGCTAAGTTTTATTCGTATTTATTGAGAGCTGATTGTGAAATGTCGGGTTCAAAAAGTCAAAAGTTGTCATGAACAATTGTAGCAAAAGCCTTGTGTTGTCCAATTTGGTTAGTTTCTAATAGTCTTCAGTCACAGCGCACTGATGAGATGGAAGACGCACCCTGCTTGAAGACCATAGCCTTTGCCCTTTAGTGGGGAACTGTCATTAGGCCTCCGGGTAGATTCCGTTTCAGTTTCGAGGCTGAAGAAATATTCCAAGGATCCGAAGTTCATGACGAAGATGGTTCAGTGGCCAGGGGCGCACTACCGCACATGCATAGTCACTGGTCGAATCCCGTATCGATATTCGATGAGGCCAACCATGCTTTCATTTCCTCCGAGGTCAGTTAAAGGGTATCAGACTTGTCTGGGAGGATAAAAGCACTGACTTGTATACCGGCTGGCCACCTCAGTTCATTGTATAGGCCACATACGCATCCAATACCACTGCTACCTTTACAATTTTGAGTGGAAGTCGAATGCGGGGCGCATCCCTCAGGTGGATTGATTAACGCCAAAAACTTTATCCTTTATCTTTTCTCAACCGTTTCATGTAGCTTATTGCACCGTGTTTACTGCTGTGATCTGTCAAGATGGTAAATATTTTCCACGACGTCTTCCAATTACGTTGATTGTTCGAGCTGTTTCAGTTTCAGGAAACGCTGTTGTTGATACTTTCCTTGGTCTCGTTGTCCCCGCTATCCCACGCATCTTCATACTGTTTCTATTTTGCACAATATGTTTATACTATCCCTTAAGCGATTGAAAACATTCAACACGCAAATACTCCGTTTGGTTACCAGTAATGAACCTATTCTTAAACGAAGTCTAGTAATGACGTCGTCATACCAAACTTTATTTTCGGAACACTTCCATCACGAACGAAACGACTCAAAGAGAAGCCCGTAATTGCGAGACTATTGAAAATAAAAGAGGAAGTTTCCTGCAATAAGATATGAAGGGAGACGAGCGTTAGGAACGATTTTGGGTAATCGATTCGCCGCACGCGGCTGTTGCGGACCACTCATTCGCCGTTATTACAGCTCTAGCGTTCCTCATACAGTCAATCGATATGCGAACATCATTTTATGCATAATTCTACTATTAGTACNTTTGTTTTTGTATTTCTTACCTACTGCTGCATTCTGCTACACTCCTTCGCGCGCGACGCTCCCCTCACCGCGACGCGACCATTTCTTTCCTAACGCACCACACCCAGATATGAAGGACCGTGTCGAGGACAGTTCCCGGCCGTGGTAGCCCACAAGGTGTATTCGATCTACCTTATAATCTGTGAGGGCAGGCTTATGTTCAAAAGGGTTTTTATTTACTGAAGGAAGAGTGCTTTCGTTACTGCGAAGTAATAATCGAGTATGAACTTCATAGTAGGAGCTTCAATTTACTGAGAAGCCATTTTTGAATTCCATATGGGTGGCTCGAACTCTTGCTGGAAAAACTTTAGCTCAAAGACTTGCTGTAGTGATGCAATCACCACGTTATTATTATTATTTATATTGTTTATTTATATTTATATTTATTATTTATTATTAGTGCTGGACTTAATACTTTCACATTATTTTTCATAGTAAGGGTTCGAAAAAAGCCAGTAGGCTTGAGTTGCTCCCCCTTTTCAGCTCGCATTCGAAATCGTGATGGGGATTTGAAAGCACCTATTGTATTGTATAAGAGAGAAAGACCTGGGAAAAATTAAATAAAGAGGCTCCCAAGTGCATTCTGTGGCATCAGGAGCAGCATTGTATTCTATTCGGACCAGGCCATAAGAAGGGATCCCTTGATCCTTCCCCGTAATGAATTAATTTGTAGCGGATTCAGAAAAGGGGTAAAATACCGGCTCTTGTACATTAACGTCGTATTCTTTTCTTCTTGTACCCCATTTTTTTAATGTGGGCAGTCGCTTGGTTTTTTCGTGTAACATTTTAATAGTGAAGTAATCAAATAGCATCCAAATGGTTCTGGCAATTTGCGTGAGTGAGGAGTACATGGCGTGTCTTGCAATGGAAATCAACGAATGGCCAGCATTTGACCTTTAGAGCTGGCTCTTTGAAGCTCAGATTTTTTATCAAAAAAAAAGAAAGTGGGAAAGCGACTGAATGTGTGCGCTTTTATTCAAGATGAGGAGATGGGTAACACTAGAAAGAACTGGTTCTTATTGTTGGGTTATGATTATGATTTATTATCGGAAATCAAAGAAAATAACAGAACGGCAAAAAGAAACACAAACAAGTCACCGATAAGCAGTAATTTAATCTACATTTATCTAAATATACCTACCCCTTACTGTTTTTCTCATGAAACCATGTCCTAATGTTTTTAGCAGTTTAATGAGGCCAGTCACTCATACCATTATGTGTCACCTATGTATATCACATGATAAAAACTAATTATAAGGCCGATAATGGTAAACATCCTTATTAGTAAAATGAATATGTAATCACATATAAGCTTGTTCAAGTGTTCTCTTCATTTCCTGCTGAGATTTGCCTCATTTCCTTACATTTGGCTCACTTCCTTCAATAAATCCGCTGTGGAAGATATTAGTGTCTTCTCCATCATTTCCGATAAAGATCAATCAAGTTTGGAGAGTTGGAGTGGCTCGATAATGTCCCAGTCATTACGTTGAGGCTTTTTGAGGTATTTTATGAGAACGAGAAGACCTTCTCAGCATTGCCTGGGTAAACGGGCCAAGTGATTCCAAATAGCTGATTATTTACTGATATTTCAATGCGAGCAAAAACTCAGCATTACCTTGCGTGTGCTGGGCAATGTTTTTGCCCAACACATGGGATGTACTGCTGAGCTAAGGCTACCCATATTGGGTATGTAAGTCCAATGAACTACTCAGAATTAATTTAATCTTTCTTTCTCAAATCCAGAAGAAGGTAACATTGAATTCATCAAGAGCAGCTCTGATTCCATGGATGTATACAAAAGTATAGCGAAGATTCTAGAGGTTGTAAATATTATCACACCATATCTCGCCCTCCTTCGAGCCTAAATGAACCCAGTGCTGACAGAATATGCGTTGGTGTGCGCCATGAATGAAAATTTCGTTGGGAAGGGAATACGGTAGCCACTGGTTGACTTAATGTTTTGATAACTGCTGTTTGTACGCTGTGAGAGCCTCCCAAGGTTTTGGAATTATGGACAGAACTTCGGCATTGGACGGGATTCAACCCGTACTTGTGTTATCCTGACACCGTGCTCTTTGCCGTTACACCGACGAAACCTCGAAAACACTCTAAGCCATGCACGCTCCTTGTTCAATTGATTATCTGTCATTGATCTTTGGTATATTTGTTAAGATGGGAAGGGTTCTTCACATAACTGACTGTGACGAACGAAGAGCTGTATAAATTCGGATTAACTATGTACTATTCCATGTTTTCGGATCAAAACAAACAACTTTTCGGAAGGTGAAGCTCAAACATTTGAAAGCGGTATTATTATAGGAATTGTGTGCTAAGTCATGATGTCTATATGGCCAAAGAAATGGTATAATAGAATAAGCATAAATTGGTACCTTCTTTGTATACGATACGTATCCAATTTCTTTTCAATCTAGGAAGGGCATTCAATTAGGTATTCGGCTCATACAATGGCTAAACAAAGAAAAAAGTGAACCATTTCGAAAATGGGCTTATCGCCAGTGAATCAGCTCGGAAAGGATTGGCTTGATTCCGTTTCCTGGCTCCAAGACATGTGAGCTTAAAAAGGTTCCAGTACATCTCGTAGCGCCTCAATCAAGGATTAATGAGGCGATTTTTTGACAGCAACTTCCTCCTCAGATAGTTGCCCTTCTCTGATAGTTGGCAGCGAGCCAATGTTAAGCTAGCTGCTCAGCTATCAGTGGCACTGTAATCCGACCGAAGCTTTAAGAGGTGATCTGTCCTAGTCGAAAGGCCTTTCAAGGGTCGATCATCGGTAATCTTCTTGCCCAGAATGTGAAAGCAATAGCATAGGTAGAAGTACTGAAACCTTTTGGTCTCTTCAGACGCCGTGTCTTTATCTTGAAAATTCGAAAGGACACTCATATTGAATCCAATTTGTAGACAACCCTTCGATTTCCTCTTTTGTTCCTTCATTCCGCGATGCAGTAGGAATCAGTGTTGGGAACCGCCCAAAGAAACAAAGTCACTTTGAAATTGATTATAATAAATATCTCGCTAGAGAAGCTAGCAATGATAAGAGTAAGTGATCACCCAAAACAGTCTCAAATCAGCCAAACTGTGAAACTTCAACGGTTTATCGCGAGTGAAGAAGAGGAGAAATAACCCATGCGAGCTTTTCAAGCACCCCTTCCCTGTGCCCGCTAGAGAAGGGCCAAAATGAAAACTTGAACAGGGTCACCCAATCCGTTCCATTCGATACCTATGTCCTGATTTCTTTTTCTCATGGAAAACATAGCCATATATCATATATCTTGGCAAACATAATGTTTAATGCAGGGAACGAGCGCGATTTTGCAGAACCTACCCACTATTCAAAGAAGATAACGTCTTTTTCATGGGCCCAATGTAGCATTGAAGCCCGAGCTTACCTAGCTGTGCCTATGACGACTGATGCTCGCACATATGTATATGTAAAGAGAACGCAAGACAGAGTTGTGTA